TCAACTATATTAGAACGCATCCTCAACTACTATTCTCTTCTCACATACGTCATAATACATCGGCCTCGATCAAACGTTTTATTGCACGGTATTTTCCTCTTGCATGCACTTTATTCTGGAATTACACTGTTATCTGTTACGTGTTGGGGCTTAATGAGCAAATGTCGATAATAATTATTTTTAATTATTCTATCCGAGCTCGAAAAGATAGATACTCTCAAGCTTGTGCAAAGCCACTCAGGTACTCAAAACCTGACAGTTAAACCTAATCGGCACGGATTTAAATATAGCAAGTAAAAAGATCAAGTGTCTGTGTCTGTGTCCTGGAATGAAAGTTAATAGTAGGGATCCTACACAACAAAAATAAAAAAAAACAAATAATCGACAAAACACTTGCGGAGCTACAAATAAAGACACAACGCTATCACAAGAGAAGAGAGGAGGAACACAGGAGAACAAAAGTTTAATAACAAATCATTATTACCCCCAAAATATATTCATAATTACAGGCTGTTATTTTTATTTAAATAGGAGTTTACTATGTGTACAGTGCCTACGCTTTAACTTATCGGCTTTGCTGTTTTGGAAGTACGAAAATACGAGTGAGTTGATGATAACGTAGATGTATCTTCGATCGAAGGATGGAAAGTTTTGTGGTACATTTTTACACTGAGTGTCTAAGCAACGTGTAACTTTATCTGGGTGGACCTGTCTTTGCAACTATGGAATACAATGTTGCCATTACCAACTTGTCATTATTTGGTGGTTTCTGTTGTTTCTGAGGTTGTATTTGTGCTAAATTGTTATTATTATTATTATTATTATTCATTAACTGCGTCGAGTGCTTTTCTTCGTGAGGAATACTTCAAGTCTCAGCCTGGTAACAAAATCCGCACCGGATTAAAAGTCAAGTAACGTTAGTGGTCTGTGTTATTATTATTATTATTATATTATTATTATTATTATTATTATGAAATCTTATTATTATTATTAATGAATCCATGTCATTACTGACAGGTTGACATTAATCAAATGTTGTATATAAAAATTGGAATTTTGTATTAAAGACGATTTCGGGTAAAATTTAATACAAAACTCGTCAGTAAAATGACATTACCTGACTGGGAAATTAAAGTCTCGGTCCCAAAGGGGCCTCGTACTTGAATCTTTCCTCACCAGTAATGTGTCATTTTCCTGACTTTTATGTAAATAACTATTTCGTAATCAATTGCCGGATTTTTTGGAAATTATAAACTTGAGGCATTAACTTAATCATTCTTTTTTGGTTCAAAACTTCCGGGTAGAGGAAAATAACTCGGGTTGGTAATTGTAACAAGTAGTTGAACCAACGAAGGATAGGGTACCCAAGACCAATATCCGGGTAGAGGAAAATAACTCGGGTTGGTAATTGTAACAAGTAGTTGAACCAACGAAGGATAGGGTACCCAAGACCAATATAGCCCGTCAGCTTCAGAATTATAGGACACAATACTCAAAATTATTGCCGTGAAAAGTTTTCTTACGTATTCTTATTTATTGGTCAACTACTACAGTTAATTTTCTGTATTGATACGGAATTCCATTCCCAAAATTAATTTCGGAATCAGTTTTCCAACCCGACATAAAATTGTTTCTGTCCTGCGTGGAGCGTCTTTGAACTGCCTTTTAGTTTCGAAACTATTTCTCTAGTACCAGTTTAATTGTTCGCAGACCTGTTTTCACTTATTTACGTGAAACTTTTTCCTCGCTATTCACACATTTAAATTTTATTACCTTTATAGCAACAACAAACGATTTGTTTTAAATGTTCAGTATACACGCACGGACCGGTCGCGTATCTCGTTATACTTTTTAAATAAAACATATGTATGTATTTAATTTTTTAGTGTACAATAAAAAATCATGTTCACAAATACTAGCAACAATATCCTTACCTCTAATGGAAAACACAAAAAAAATGTTTTAAGAGATACTTTTGTTTTTTTTTGTGTGTAAAAAATGCTAATCAATACAGTATGTACTTTTTTGAGCCATATAATATTGGAGCGGTCTTGTAGCGCTCAAAAAGTGGCATCAAGAAAGTGGTAATCGGAATTTTCTAGTTTTCTTTAAAGCATGATAATAACTCTTTAATAGGGTCTTCCTGAAAAAAAATATTGTAACTTTTTTGTGTCTTACTGTAAAGTTTATAACCGGTAATTAAACATCTCATATACAAAACTGTTTTTCTACAATCGATATCCAAAGTAGGCATTTGCGCTCGTATTTGACAACGCAAACGTCATCTTTTTCGAGGAATGTCACTTTGTCGCTTATAAGCGACAAAATAGAAAAAAACGCTCGCTCTCCCAATTATTAACTATAAATCAAATATGCATTGCTCAGAGTATCCAATGACAACGAGTAAATGACATCTTTCATTTGGGTATAAGATTATGATGATTTGAGTGAAAAATTTAAATTTCTGGAAATATGTGAACTGCTCGATTGTAGAAAAAATCTTGTGTGTAATTCGAGCGCAAATTGATTGTTGATTTCAAGAGATTGCCGCGCTCCTTCGTCGCGCGTCAACTGTCTCTTTCAATCGACAATATATCATTTTGCGCTCTTAATACACAAATAGCTATTTTCCTAATTGCAGCATGTCAATAAACAACATAATATCGTAAAACTTTCAAATTTTGTCATGCAACCGACGACATGCCGATATTGGCCGAGCATCGCATACGTCACTACGCGGGTTGCCGATCGGAAGTTATATTAGTGCATGACACTGATAGGAGTTCGATTCGACTTATTATGGCAATCTGCCATAAACCGAGTTCTGACTGGTTCGTAAAGGGGCAGTTAGATAGTCTGTCAAAGGTTGAAGTGTTAATGGTCGCCGCCTTTTTCTCGAAAAGTGAGTTTTTCCATGCCACTCGTTTGAGTGGAGTCAAAGCCCAGAAGCAAATCTGTTATGGTTCATAGGAAGTGTAACATCAAGTTTTGTGTGTATAGTGCAAGGTATAGTGTAGGTACCTAATACAGTATGCACCTTACGGATTTCAACGAGAAAATTAGGGTGTTGGATATGTGGAAGTGAAAATAGAGAAAAATGTGTGCGCTGTAAGGGCACAGATATGCCCAGAACAGAGTTCGAAGTAAATCATATTCTGAATTACAATTACAATATTATATCTATGGATTTTCGTCGATAACTGACTGAAAGTAAATCGACATTATGCACTTTAATTAATTAGAATCGTCTTCACAACAATACAAATGGGATGTCAAATTCGCGGTATCACGTCGAACTTTTTTCGTATATTTCCTGTTGGGACATTTATATACAATTTATTAGGTTCGTGATGACTTCTGCTATCACGCTCAGGTACAAATGCAATAATTATTCGACGCTTTTTCCGTCAAAACGACGTTTTCTTTCTCTGAATCGATTGTAAGCAATGCTACGGCTGAGCGCCAACGCGCGTAGTGACGTCACTGCAATGTGGCGGTCAGTCGAAACTTTTCAAACGCCGTTCATTTTAAAATCGTGTTTGCTAATCACAACGATTTCTCTTGACAAAAAAATGAGTACCACTAATTTTTTTAATGTGCTTGGAGTTCATTTTCAAGGTTTTTGAAAAAACGCGGAAAACCCCATTGCGCATCTTTTTTCTAATTTGACCATCGTCTTATCTTCTATGATTTCCGAGATTCCCATGATATACATGGACACAGTGTATAAGGGGAGTAAGTCTATTTATTCTTTCATAGAATGGAGAGACTGCTCTATTATAGTTTTTGAATTACTTGGTTTTCTGGGTTTGCATTTTTGGGAATTTTCTTAGATCAGTTTCAAGCATTCGGCCGGCTACTCCGAATTAGGTTTTCATGCAGTTTTCCTAATTCGTAAGGTACATACCGGAGTAGTATGGAACAACTTAAGACCTTCTGCAGGGACACCTCCAAAAAGCATTATGAGGGTTACTTTGTAATTGGGCGCAAGCCTGTTGAGGGCCCAGAACAAGAGAGGGACACTAAATTAAAAAAAATGAATAAATAAGATATGAAAGGCTAGGGACATTGAGGAATAATTTCATTAATTAATCCGGGCTGGGCTGGAGATAAGCAGCTTTTTTATCATTCGTAATTTGAAGATAAACAGGTGTTCTTTGTACTTAACAGATATGCTAGTTTATCGAAGACGCATAATCAAATGAGATAAGAGGGGTATCCGGTCGTAGCTTTTAGTGGACTCGATTGGTAAAAGTAAAAAGAGAAGGATTGAAAAAGGGTAAAGGGAAATTTCGTTAAAAAAGAAAAGAAGACGTTAAACGGGTTTTTTTTTCGTGAATGACAGTCTTGGTGGTTTAAAGTTTTGGCAGAAAAATGTTTAGTGTCTTAAGAGATTTAATGTTCGCTATAAAAGTGAATACTCCAGTTCGTGCTACGCTCCAGCGTTGTATGTGTCACGTATTCAGAGAAGTATTACATGTACAATTGAAATTAAAAAACGGCGACTTCTTTTAAGTTAATTATCAAGAGAGAGAAAACAAACGAAGATTCAGAAGCAACATAAGTTGGAGTTGCAGCTTCGCATGGTACGTGCGGCTTTCCATGTAACAAACTTGTCTTGCATTGGGTGGTGGTGCTGTTGAATCGCGCCACGTGAAGAGGTTGCGCTACCAGCCGCGCGCGTTTGTGTAACGGAAGTCCGTTACAAGTCACGCAGGCGCACCAGAACGTTTTGTTTTTTTTTCATTCAGATAAGAACAAATCGTGCAATTTAGCGTTTTTAAACGTAAATTATCAACCGGATGATCTTCGTTTTTCAGCAATTTGGACAGACTTGAGTGGAACGAGCAATAAAGCACTTAATAGTGTGAAACATCCGGAGAAGTAGAAAGGGGGATCGTAACTGTTCGTTAATGTCTTCAAATATCCAGAAAAAGGAATGCCAATTAAACAAGCAACGCCTTGGAATACAAGGTTAATCCCAAAGCAACTTGTCAAATTTTTCAATCCAACCATTTCGACAATAATTAACGGACGAAGGGCTATAGCAAGTCCTAAAAAAGTATTATTACATAATTTTACCACATACACATACCTAAACTAATCCCGTAGACTATTGCACAGAAAAACTGCCAATAAACGTTGTAACACGTCGATGAAAGTAGTAATACTACAGCGGTTACACTTAGGCTTACATATGACGTCAAAAGGGTGTTTATTCGATAGAAGGTTGACAACATTCCACTTGCTATTCGCCCCATGGTATTTGCTAAGCCAATTGCCGTTATTAAATGATAAGCTATGTTGCGATCTATTCCGTTTGTTTCGGCTCTTTGAACAATGAACATAAATGGAGTGTACAGGCCTAAGACTGTACATAGTCCGCTAAATGATATCAAGATGAAAGACGGAGATTTTAACAGGCTGAAATCCACCATTCTTGTAGCTATCTTCGGAAACCAGAAGCAATAAGGTGTGTGGGATTTCTTATCTTTGGCACTAACTCTTGTAACAGAAAGATGATAGCCAATGTTTCCTTTCTGTAATTTAATTTCTTTAACATTCAAGTGTATTACTATTTTCCACAATTACACTGTTGGGTCTAGAAATTTGCAGTTGGCCAGATTTAACGTATTCGGGTAACGTAGATAAAGAGGCGGGATAAAAGATGTCATCCCTGCATAATGGCCGTGCGGGCGTAGTAGATAAGCATAACCGTTGGTAGGTTAGAACGATTCTGTCTCGACACGAAAGATTAGTATACTCGCCTTCTTCCAGAACAGTCATTAGCTTATTTACAGAGCCTTTAATTTTCGATACGTTTGAAGTTTTGGATTTAGTCTGACTTTGAATAGTGTACACCGATGCACTTGCTGCTGGACTAACCGATTTAATGAAAAATGAAGTCGACGATTGATCCGTCGGGTGCAACATTATTTTTGACGTACTTCGATCTGAAGCCGTGGTGTACTCAGAATTGCTAAAACTTGATGTTTCAGTAAGATCGTGTTCATCTGGCAATTCTTTTATCGTCTCCAAAACCTTTTGCTCTTCGACGACTCGTACTGGAATCAATGGGCGAAAAGTTAACGCACAGAAAGAACATAGTAGTCCACAGCCCGACATAACTTTAAACTTGACTCTCCAAGTTTGATTACTCAACAGAATTCCAAAGATCAGCGGAAACAACGTTACTCCCATAGATGATCCGCACGACATGATTGATTGTGCTAAAGCTCTCCACTTTTCAAAGTAGAAACTTACTACAATAATGGCAGACAAGAACGTCATTTGCAAACCGAGTCCTCCAATCAGTCCATACCAGAGAATAAAACATCCCAATTCTTCACAATTTGAAGATAACATTAATGATAGGCTCGTAACTATGCCACCAATCACTGCGACTTTTCGGTATCCAATCGTATTTATAAATACACCGACTAACGGACCTATAACCATCTCCTTCGTTAAATTGTCGGTGTTATTACGGCAACAAACCTGAGAGAAAATACGTTCCTGTCAAAATCGAATTTGCGAGAGCAACTTTCGTGGTACTGCAACGCAATGACAAAGAAACGTCGCTTAAAAATAGAGCAAAGGTGTACACCATTCCATCATTGACAAAGTTTATGATGAACGAAGCAGCCACTATGACCCAACCCCACATTCCATCTGGCGGTATAACTATGATTGCTTCGCCTTGCCTGTCCAAATTCTGAATTTCGGTATTGTCTGTTATCAACTGAACTTTTTTTGCAAGCTGCGAGGTATTTACTACAATTGTTGTAAGTCCACATTGTGACTTGCTCGATTTTGAACTTGCCATGGTTGATGACAAAACTTTTGGCTAACAGGATAGTATTTTGACGTATCACGTCAGTTATGACACGTTCACAAACATTATAATTACCATGGTACAATAAGATAATTACTATGAAAACGCAGCAAAAGTGTACCATAGACGACAGATTAATCGATCTGCATTGAAATTTGTAATTTAAGCAGTTTTTCAATAACTATAATAATGAAATTTAGTTAAAAAATAGTAAAGTCAGAATAATTGTTGTATAGTTTTGGAAAATTAAATGGCAAATATTATGTTGTCCAAATGATAATCTTGCGCTGCTGGCACTTTTCTAACCGAAAATGGAAATTAGTTGCCAAGCGTCTACACATTTCTCTTGAAATGGCGGAGATTTGGGGTGGGGTGTTTCTCTTAAATACGATGTGACGCGATAAGTTTAAACTGATATAAAAGTCTGATAAATCATTGTAAAGCTTCTGACAATTCATCTAATTTAGACGTCAAAAATAGCAAACTTAGGTTCTGCCGTCGCGGTCGTTGCCATATAGAAACAACATTATCATATATTCTGAAGGCCATTTTATATCGTGCTCCGCGTCCCATTTGAAATAAAAATGACAGATTTCATTAGAATTCGCAATCATCTGTTTTACTTTATCTACCCTTGCAGTTAAAGTGATCACTTTATCTACCTATACGGTTAAAAAGCGGCTTAGCCTACTCCTGAAAACCTAAATGCTATACAATAAATTTATTTATATGGCTTCTGCTATAAAACAAAGTTTTGTAGTGTACACGACGATAAAGGGAAACTAACAATCTCGTAAAAGTTAATTGTGTAATGGTTAAAATATTCCTTTATAATATATATATAATAAAAAGTCTGGCCATTCCTGAATGCTGATCCGATAATGGATTACAATTTTACATAAAGCAATTCGTTTAGAGTCGGGTTACTCACCTGCCGAGCTGCTTATGTTCAGGAAACAAAGAACATTGCTAGTAGACATCTTTAGCCATATTTTGAAAAGGAATAAATCATAAATAGGACAGTGTGGATAATTGAATTGAGGAGATATGGTAAGATTCTAATTTTTCGAACAGTCACGTTCATACATTGTGGAAACTCGTCCTTCCCAACATAAAAATTTAAAATCTTAGGGCCGGTTCTACAATTACACCTATTCCCAGAATAAGATATTCTTAGAATAACTGCCATAGCGATATGTATCCTATTGGTTCACGCAATGGTAACCAACGCAACCATCGACGTTTATTCTAGGTATAGCTTTTTCTCGGTAGGTATGCCCTAAATCAGATATTTGTGCCGTGTATTGCTAACGCAACTAATCATACATGATTAAAATTTGGTAGTTTCGGATCAGACCGCTTGGTGTACTCGGGCTTCATTGGTGCTTTGAGTTTGTCAACGGCACGCTTTGTAAGCGTCGTTGATTTATAATAATCAGTCCAATTCTGTAACCATAACAAGTTTTCAATATTACTAACTATAGCAAGATTGTTCAATGAAATTCTAGCAATATTACGGGCAATTATAACCAACTTTAGCAATATTGATAATATTCCTACACTTCGTCATATTGCTACCAACTAGTGAGAACTTACTAACAGAGTGTTGTCACTGGATCTAAAATTAAACGCATTAGGCCTAGGTACCCGGACCCAAATGAAATTGTGTACAATGAAATCATATTGACGTTATACTCGTAACGTAATTTCACGATTGCCATGGAAATGTCACTTGACGTTTGCTTATAAAAATCATCGTCTTTGTGAATAAAACGATTTCCGTTGAAAAACTAAATACACCGTCCATTAAACCGCTTGTTGTAAAATCTAAACAAACGTTGGTAGGTCTAAAATTATAAAGAATATGAAAAGTTGTTTCCATGGATGAATAGGAAGTGACTTACGAATAAAGAATATTGATACAATTAAACATGTACGATCTTGTATTGACTCTCATAGTGATATCACAGTTCACTTCACAACTATTTCATCATGGTAAGCTATCAGCCTCAATGCGAAATACTCTTAAACAAAATAGGAGCTGGTGGATCCCCATCGAAGTTAATGGCCTTAAACGCTCGAAACATCACTGATTACTATAAATTTTGGTGGGTTTTTCTATTCGATAAAAGGCACATTTCTGGGCATTTTGATCAGAGTTCTGAGCGTCGAAACATTTGGGCCTCAAGTTAAAAAAAAACTACCGTGTGGTGCACTATTTTGATACTCGGCAGGTAAGATTTAAATTTCTTGTACTAATCGTGGTTTTCCAGTTATAATTTTTATTTTGTTACAGTTTTTTTTTTCAATTGGATATTTTACTGCTCAATAAACACTGAAACGGCAAAGCCGGCGTTTATTTTTTTCCGTTACATCCTCATACCTTTCGTAGAATTTCGGAAATTCAGAAAGGCAAGGCTTGAAAATTCGTATTTCCCAACTAACTAATTCTTTAATTAATTGCTCGGTTTCCTTTCATCCTAAAAATCTGGGAAACGACTTAAACATCTTGATAAATTAGCGCACTTCCAATGATACTGAATACAACCTAATCAGACGATAGGTTTGCTGCAACATATCTAGTTAGCTACTGCTAATTATGCTTACTCAACTAAACGGGTTGAAATTCCAAAATTCGGTAGTCCACTCATGGTTAGTTGGAATTTTTGGGTCTCTTATCTACGTACCCTGGTTTTAAACTTAACATTGGGAAACTAAAATCGGCCAAACATTAATAACGAGAACGGAAATCATAAAATATTAATTTTCTCTTGTTATCCAAATGACGAGAGCTTTCAGATGCTGCAACAATTTAAATATTCCCATTGGAACGGCCCAGATACTTTACACGTTTTACGCACATTTTACATTTAGCTTTGTTGAATTTTAAGTTTGTTGGTGTCTCAAAGGATCATCATAAACGAATGTATGAATGTTTGCTCAAGAGATTTCTCAGATGCTCATAATCGATTGTAATACTTCGCGTTAGTAAGAAGACAAACTACATGTTACACATTTCCAACGTATTCTATGTCGCTTTTAGCAACTTGAGGTTTGGAACAAGTCAGTAAGCGTCTAAGTAGGTTGATTCAAAATTAAAGAATCCACATTTTATTTAACAATTGATTACATAACTAGTCAAACAAGAGAAGTACATTAACAGTAAGTTGACAACTATAAATACCTATGTCTCCCTCTTTGCAATCTATTCTAAAAGTGACGAGTCAAATTTACGGATACTAGCATAGTATAGAACTATAATATTAGCACAGATCTACACATACACAGATTGCTAACCTTATGCATTTTTTGGGAAACAAATTTAGGTATACTTAAAAGCGCCCTCTATTGCGGAGCAGTATAAACATGTATCGTTTAAAACTGTAATATGACGCTTATGGATTTATGCGTTAGATGTCGCTGAAACAACATTAAAGTTAAAGTCACTAAATATAGAAAGTACCGCAATCCATTGGGCTCGTGTGTTAGAGAGAGAACGCATGATTTTTGCCCAAAAATGGCGGAAGTTACCAGATTCTAGTTACTTTAATGTTAGGGATTGTTCCACCTGTTTGGAGATATCTGTATATATTTTTATAAAACATGACAGTACTATGAAGTTAGGTTATAAAAAATTACAGCTATTCAGATTTTATTTGTAAATTTTTTTAAGTTGGCAGCAAATTTGCCCAAAAATGGCGGATGATTGCGGTACTTTCTATATCTAGTGACTTTAGATTCCAGTAAAGTCACTAAATATAGAAAGTACCGCAATCAATTGGGCTCGTGTGTTAGAGAGAGAACGCATGATTTTTGACCAAAAATGGCGGAAGTTACCAGATTCTAGTGACTTTAATGTTAGGGATTCTTCCACCTGTTTGGAGATATCTGTATATATTTTTATAAAACATGACAGTACTATGAAGTTAGGTTATATGACAGCTATTCAGATTTTATTTGTCAATTTTTTTAAGTTGGCAGCAAATTTGCCCAAAAATGGCGGATGATTGCGGTACTTTCTATATCTAGTGACTTTAATTAAAGTTTGCACAATTCGAATTCCTTAATATTCGTATTATTACAGTGGTATGATATGATAGGAGGTACGTTGAGCCATAATTGTTTAATTTAACACTGGAGCTACTCATTCGTCGTAAGGGAGTTATTAAAAGCGGGTCCCTGTGGTCACAGGTCAGATACACACGAACATAGGGCAGGTTCTTAAAGAATCGTGAAGGTTTTTTGAAGTTGGCGGAAACTATTTGCGGCTTTAAAGGTCTTGACAGATTGCTAACCGCAAAGGCATACTTAAAAACTATGTATATCTCTGCCATCATTAACGTTACACTCTTTACCACGTCGATAAGATATAAGATAGGGAGGTTATTTTCGAAAAGTTGATAGTTTTCCAGTTGTAAGCACAAAACTGCTAAAAAAATATCCTTTTCAACTTTTTTGTATTTTTTTCAATGTTGCGTCATGAAATTTTGTTAGCAAACTTCGGATTCGGATTCGGCACCCCAAAAAACATATAGAATCACAGAAATCAAAACTACCCCACAACTTTCCTGGTAAAAATACAATTAAACTGGATTATATGCACATTTTACCGCTTTAAATTTTTTGCAGCGACATCTAATGCATAAATCCATAAGCGTCATATTACAGTTTTAAACGGTACATGTTTCTACTGCTCCGCAATAGAGGGCGCTTTTAAGTATACCTAAATTTGTTTCCCAAAAAATGCATAAGGTTAGCAATCTGTGTATGTGTAGATCTGTGATATTAGTAACAGGGATATTTTCACTTAGTTTTGTACATTATGAAACTTTGTTCGATATCAACAACCACCATTCCTCTTTCCATATTTAAATATTCTTTGTAGAATAACCATTTCATCAAGGTAGGTAGATTCGACTAATCACTTTTAAGTTTGAGGTTAGTATAAAAGATTATTCTAAAACTAGTGTAATCTAAATTAACAGTTTTTATTTGAGCAAAATTTATATTGCCACAACGCATAAAAAATTACTATTATTATTATTTTCCATCTATCTACACTACAAATATACAGTTTTGATTGCCGCTTAGCACGATTAACTCACAGCAAGCATTTTGTTACTCATATGTTCAATTTCCCATGCAGTTTGTAAAAACTTTTGTGTTCTTTCCAAAACGGAATTTACGGTTTGGCTTAGTGAAACGACAACCAAAGTGTTGCAAAATTAAATGAATAACAAACTCCTTAAAATATCACAAATAGCTACCTATTATAATAATTACATCGATGTCAAGTGCTGAATTCAACTAACTGAAACTTCATAGCGGATTATAAACTTAAATTTGTATTTGTCGTGTAAATTCTTATGTCACAAAGACAATACTGATTGTTTGGTACATATATTATATGATTGCGTTTTTGTAATACATTACGTGCAAATCACAGCCATCTAAAGTCTACTGTTTTCAGTTAATCGAAAACAATAATTTACTAAATGCGCTTATTACAAAAATTGAATTACAATAACATTTTTGATTATAAATACACACTTCTGTTGGTTTAGCTTTCTAATATCAATGTTAAACAGTTATCATTTAACTTGGGTGTTGATTGGAAGCAACTTCGATTAGCACAACCATAACAGACGAGAGACTTACATGCTTTTTTAAAAATAGCCAAAAATTTATACAATTATACCCAAAATATCTTCATTGTCTCTAGGTTCCAAATTTTAATGCAGAAATGTGATTTCTTTATCCATCTACGTAAAAATCTTCTAAATTATAGGCTGTTTACTGCAATTAATATTGGTTATAATTATATTTACATGGTATATTTAATATTTTTAACTTTTATTAATAAGTACAAATGTGCAAAAGCTTGTGCAGTACAGTCATTACGAAATTGAGATTAGAAATTATACTATTACCATCGATTTAAAAGTACCTAGCTAGTAACAAGGGGCATGATTTTACAAAATTCTACTGCTAGTTAGCGTTACGTATAACGGTAGGTGCTGTCGTTGATATATTCTTCCTATTTAGGTATAGGATTTGTGTAGAACGTTTCCTAATTAATCGCGAATTACACGCCAATCGATAGGAGGGTTTTCTAAAGATTCCATAAACTATTTAATGCCACGTAAGCACGTAACGAATTAGTTTTTTTCTCTTTTCGAAGATTAGATTAGTCAAAGCTAAGATTTCATTGAATTGTCAGGAATTGTATTGCGAACTTACGGTACATCAATGAGAGATCCTATCAGCCTGAAGGTGTCAGTCGATTTAACTTAAGTTTGATGACGTACAAGAGCATCATATCACATTTTTACGCACGCTGCTCGTGAACCTCAACTCTGGATTTCGAGTAGGTTTCCAAATGTTCAAAGGAATCAAAAACCGTTGATATTAGATATGCAAAAAAGATTGGTACCCAACGAATATTCCAGAACAGGAACATCGGCGAATAGACTGTGAAAAATCGGGTGAGAAACACCCTAAATTATTACAACGAAGGCTTTGAGGTCCAAGGGGCCAAGTATTTCATTGCGCTATTTTTTAAATTACGTTAAAAAACAATTTTTACCAATCAAAATTGAGCACCTCTATTATGTATACAGGGTGTTATTAGATGTACATTAAACGGCAACTGGTAAAAAGGCCAAAGACAATTCATTCGAGCAATTTGGGGATTTCCATACTGTGGAACATTGGTAGTTATTCATGTAACTAAATCCTGCGTGAAACAGGAAGCACGATTTGTTCTCTCGAAATTTTGCGATTCAAAAGTTTCAAAGAGTTCTATCATCCCCTTCCAAAGGAGAAAGCTTTGATTCATCGATAAATGTAAGTTAGTTTGAAAGATGTTGATAAATTTTACTTCATTAATTATGACGTTGAGTTTTCAGTTCAGTAATACTATTCATTTGTGTGGGTTAAATTTTATTTAGCATCCAAATGGGTGTAAATTTATTTTGAATAGCATTTTGTTTGAAATCCCTATATTGCGTTACGCAAGTCACCACCCTGTATATATTATTTATAGACGTATGTGTAAGTACATACATCCTGAAAACGAATAAAGCGTGACTAACAAATAGGTAGTAATAAAGAAAGTTAATAAGCGAACAAAGAACCAATTTTCATCAGTTGTTCTAAACTCTAGTGCGCATATAATAGGGTTCAAGGAAAATATCTTCAGAGCTACCTTGACTAGAAATGAAAAGTGTTTTAGAATTTTCTCCTTGTTTAAGTTCTAGTTTCTAATTGACGTGCATAACGGACTTTCGGTGCAAGTTTAATAGTTTTGAAATCAGATAACCGTATAAGATTACCATAATTATGATCTTGCATTCGATATGGGGTCTAGTGAAGTACGAGCAGTAGGTCAAGCCGATAGCTCAGATAGAGTGCAGATCATTTTATTACCCCTCATAGAGCATCCCACTTTGAGGACGTCTTCTGAGGAGAACCACGTCACCTTGAGTGTTGTGCAAAATCTCATATTCGACATTGATAAGTGGAGAAACTAAAATATTTAGACCCTACCTAGGCCTAAATTTCTGCAGATCCTGTGTTTACAAGAAACATGTATTTGCAATTAAGCAACTTTCAGATAAACTATTTGGGTAACCTACACTATCATACATTTTGGTTTTGTGCGTTGTGTGTACCTACTGTATGTAATGCATACGTGTTAAGGTAAAGTTAACGTATACAGAGCGTGGTTTGCTTCTTTTGATTATTAGGTGTATGAACCAAAAATTGTACTTGGATTATGTGATTGTTTAGATAGATCATATTATTGATTTTTTTCTGTTATCATATCTAGTAGTATACATCTTTATAGTAGGTGATATACTGGGAGTAAATACTATTTGCTAAACGTAGCCATCTCGATCGCAAAATCCTAATAGTTTCATATCTTTGAAATTCATGATTCCATCCATACTTCAAAATCAGTCGTTCATGTTCGTATTTCCCATAACAACCACAGCATACTACTATATGAAACAACAACTGCTATACCATGCTATATCATTGATATTTACGATTTTGAAATGCTTAGTATTATCCTAGGTGAATTACGGAATGCCTAGCTACACTAGATTGTAAAAAATTGATCTTGCTACGGAATCAGACACTTCTATATTGCATTTGCAAATTAGCACTTAGCTGAAGAAACTTATATTAAATAGCTTATCATTAATTAAGCGTATGACTTGGACGAATTCATTTTTAGTACTTAGTGTATCACTAACATGTTGACCAACTCTTCACTGATCACCCTTCTCTTATATATATGCTGATCACGTTTCAAATTCAATTTTTCACCTAATACCAACTCCGCTCATAATTTCCTACGGAGTGCTACTCGATGTCGTACTAGTACTATTTTCTGATTCGGTAATATCAGCAGATATATAATACCGTGGTGTTGCAACTAGAGGATAATCGGGGCCCGGCGGAAGTACGTTGTCTTGAAATGAACCGGTAATATTTCCTGCGGGAGCGTAATGCGCAACCACTACTATTTTTCCTGTTCGAGATCTTGCTTTGCCAATGCCAAAGTGTTTGGAGTTTCGCCAGACGAGCTGCGTAAAGTGACCTAATCGTTTTAAAAGTGTTTAATTTTTATATTTACTTGTGAGGAAAATACTTACCCGAGTTAACATTAGCGTGAAGAATATCAGGCTCCTTGTTGTAATCGTACTGTCGAACGGCGCTGTACCAATAGACTGCAACCTCTTGCCCTGAAAGTGTACATTTCATTTATTAAGGACGGATTACTTCAGCACTTATTAATGATCCTCGAGATCGTTTGTAATTTTGTATTGCTGTCGGTCTATCCGTCTGTCTATCCGCGTGCACGATAATTTTGTGAAGAAACGTCCGATCGCTTTGAAAATTGATACACATGTTCTTCGGGATATATGAAAGGTCGCTATTGCTTTACGGCTACGTAGACTAGCGGGTCAAAAAGTGACAGTCCAAAAGCTGCCGAAACCTCCAAAAAAGGGTTTCTTTTATAATTCTGTTACAAAGAACATATGAATGTCCGGTTTTTTGTGTTACTAAATATTCCTGAATGAATTAAAAAAAATTGCGCACGCACAACCCAACTTTTGCATTTGCGCAATCCCAATTTTTTATCTGTCAAGATATTTAAATGAAATTTTGTACGTAGGCACCTCAAATAAAATAAAATAAAATAAAATAAAATAAAATAAAATAAAATAAAATAAAATAAAATAAAATAAAATAAAATAAAATAAAATAAAATAAAATAAAATAAAATAAAATAAAATAAAATAAAATAAAATAAAATAAAATAAAATAAAATAAAATAAAATAAAATAAAATAAAATAAAATAAAATAAAATAAAATAAAATAAAACAAAACAAAATAAAATAAAATAAAATAAAATAAAAATGGCCGGTCTACCTTGATAATTACGCGTTCCAATATGTCAAAATTGAGAGCCGGTTGCTTTTACATTTTTTACTACTATTACTAACCTGTAACATCCAACTGAAGAGGACTTGCAGGCCGACAGAACAAATTTTGACCAATATCCTTGTCGTTCCTATAATAGAAGCGATTAGTGTGTGCCAAATGATTTGCCCACGTTTGAGCCAGGTCACAAAGCTGTAACAAATATGAGTATTAACGTATTGTAGGCGCTAGAAGACGCTGCAACACATACTTTCCGCTCAATTTAATTAAAGAAGCGGTATTATTTGTATATTGAGCTGACGTATTGCGTCGTCTCTTTTTTAAGGCGTTTAATTCTGGACTTATTCAAAGCGTTTACTTTTGGTTTTAAATCGCTGCAAATATGACTAAAATTGAAGTATAAATCGCTGCCCGATGACGGAGAGAATTCATCTACAGATAGGAAATATGTGGATCATCATCACCAAGAGTCTTACTGTTTCCGAAAGAACTTGCGTCGTTCAACTACATTATGATTGCGCCGTCTTCCCCTTTATAACTTTATAACTAATTAGTTTTCACTTTTGCTTTTAATTCAAGTACTGTAACATTTTTTTTGCAATTTTGCTTACTATTCCCTGCTATAGTTTTTGTTTTGCGTAGTGTACAAGTAATGTGTGATTATTAATCGTTCCAACTTACTTTTCCGAGATTATTGCTCGAAAGTCATATATCTACGTTTCTCCATTTCTTTTGATTAAATACTTTTCTTTTTTGTACAATCCTTGCGGTAAATAAAAATGTTCGTACCATTTTGATAAGACAAATTACCTGACCAATTATTTCGATTTGCCTGCACATTGCAACTAACATTTGTTCGTTAATTTAGGGTGTTCAGTTGCAATAGCAGAAGTCTTCTTTATTCATTCCTTTTGTATTTCAATTAATATTTAGAGAAACGTCAACATCAATTCATGTTAATAGTTTTTATTAATATTAATTCAAGAATTTGATTTTATTTGGTAGTTTCCCCCAAATTTATGGTTTATATTGAATTTCTTTAGGGTATCTCAGTTTTAGGTATTGAGTACTATGAAATATACAGAGTGGCCCAACGAAAAGTATACAGAGGGCTTCTAGGGTATTAAATTTAGAAATTTCGAAAATCCTCGAACACATCAATTTTGTATTCGAGGGGAACAACTTTTGGAATACAAATCACGAACCCAAGTTTTCACCCCTCTACGTAGGGAGCTTAACCCCTAAAATTTTAAATGAAATCCGATGGCAAATGGCACATTATTTGAAAGCCAATTTAATCGTGATTACTAATCTGCTTTGCTTTTTAAATTCTATTGATTCGTTTCGGAGATAATTCGCATTTGAAATGGTTTTTTCTAAACCAAAATAAATGCGATCTAAGTCACCTTTTATTAAAATTTTACTTTGACGCTTCAATTTGTTTGTTAAACTTAAGTGAGCCTGTCAGTTCTCCGAAACGAATCAATAAAATTTAAAAAGCAAACCAGATTAGTAATCACGATTAAATTGGCTTTCAAATAATGTGCCATTTGCCATAGGATTCCATTTAAAATTTTAGGGGTTAAGCTCCCTACGTAGAGGGGTGAAGACTTGGGTTCGTGATTTGTATTCCAAAAGTTCTCCCCCTCGAATACAAAATTGACGTGTTCGAGGATTTTTCAAAATTTCTAAATTTAATACCCTAAAAGCCCTCTGTATACTTCTCGTTGGGCCACTCTGTATAAAGTGGCTCCATTAGAAGACCGTTTTACCATAATTGTTATTTTCAAATTTTTAAAGCCGTTGGATTCTTAGTGGCGCTCTATACTATTTAGTGAGTCAATGGGAAAAGGAAAAGTGGGCGACGGTCTGACGGCCGATATCGCAATCTTAATCTCGTTTACCTACACCAAAACGGTTGAAACGGCTAAATTCGCCTTGGGTTCTGACTAATGTTCCTTTTAGCTCTCACGAACATACTCTGCGAAATAATACGTTAAAAATAATTAATTAAATCACGGCGACGTTATGTTGTGAGCGGAAAGGACGAAAAAATGAATTACGCGGTATCGACAGCGAGGAGAGACAAATTATTTAAAAACGGGCAAGCGGCAAATTATTCCTTAAAGACTCGGTAGGTTTACTTTTATTAACTTGAAATTTGTTTATGAAAGGGATTTTCTCCACTGTATAATGAATGTAATTTTTCTATATGCAACCCAGTTAGATGAAAACAGAATTTTTTTAAATTCAATATTGAGTAGTGAAAATCTTCTAAATGAGTTGAAATTATATTGGTTAAAACTGAGATATGTTTGTAAAATGAAATATGGATATTAGGTACATATTTTTTCACTGTTCGTAAGAGGAATTGTCACATTAGTAAACTGAGTGTATAGTTGCACAATTTTGGACACGGGATTTTTAGACAAAACATTAATATTAGCTACACGTTCAAATTAAAGTCAGCAAACCTTTAAATAAAAGGAAAAAAGATACTAATTCAAAGGCACAATGGCAAAAAAACTAAGCTTATTGTGATAAAAGCATAATTGCCTACTCGGTATCAATACTGATTTTGACCCATCTTGCATTGATTCATTGGACGGAAGTTTTCAGTTATAATACTGAACTATGGAGCTAACCTTTAGTAGGTATATGAACTAATCTAATATGCAACTCTAACTCCTTTAGATTAGTGAATTATCAAACCTTGATTAGAGTAAAAAATATAAAGTTATCAACCATTAACTTCTTAAAAAGCCATGCACGATTTCAGTTGTTGGGTTACTCTCGCTAAATAGGACGACTTCTAGTATATACTTATGTAGTGTCAACGCTTATTTCTCCTTAATTAGGAAATGTAACCATGTAAAAGGCGATTGATTGGATGTTCTTTACAGCCCTAAAGAGCGTTAATTAATCGACGTTTCATACTTCCTACAAGCGATATTCGTAACCTTTGGCATTTTGCTTCCATCTAACTAAACTTTTCACGGCTCAAAGCTACAAAGAAAATCGTTTAAGGCGCGCCCTAAGAAATTCGAACGTCGTTTCTACGCACAGTAAGAAAAGTACCTGCTCCATTAAACCAAATTATTAGGTCTACTTCACAAGATATCCATCCCCTGCTACCTAAGCAGGCACTCTTTATGTATATAGCTGTACTCCTATAGCGTGCACGTGTAGTATGTAACAAATCTCAACTAGTCGCGTGCACGTGGAACCCTATTGAATTTCCCACACTGTTTCCTTTGAGTTTCCAAGCTATCGCTGTTTCAACGTTTCCGGGCGTAATTTATGGGAACAATAATTAGATCTTTCAGTTTTTTATTCACGACAATTAAATTTCGCTGCCATCTGCTAGATAACATCAGGACAGGCAAGCTATAACCGCGATTTGGTTTCGAAAGGAAATTAACTCGTAACTGAAACCATTATTTCCCTTCGCCTTGTTATTGATTTGGGAAAATATTAGTAAGGGTCAGAAAAAACGTTTATCAATCAATATTATATGAGCATTAACGCAAGTAGCGGCAAAACGTTAATTCAAAAGTCACAGAAGAACCTGTGGGTGGTGGTTATTTATTACGTACGTACATTTAGAAACTCCTGGCACGCATTTAACACTTTCGCTTTCCTTTTTCGTAAAAAATGATCTTAAACTTAAAATATTTAAAATTAACTTGCATAACGGCATAGTACCTACCGGCTACCTATCAACTATTTATAAGTGAGCATGCATGTTGCAGTGAAGAAGAGACTTAAGTATTGTCATAATATTAAGTAAGTATTTAACTGATGTGTAGTTTTTAACTCAAACAGAAGGAAGGGCAAACTAGTCAAAGCGAACAATTGCATTCATTCATTCTGCAATACCATTGAATAATAATTTATTATTCAATGGCAATACTAACAATCAATTTACAGATACACTGAAAAAAATGACTTCCTTGTGGTAACAAATTTAGAATTGCTACATGCATATTGTTGCAGCAGCAAAAAGAAATGGTTTTTAGAACTAAATAATTTACTGCTTTAGTTTTCCCAAGTAGTTGCGATTTCTTGGGGTTAATAATGAAACTTTGTTGGAGGATAGCAAACATTTTTTGTTAAGAGCGCCAACGAGCATTTTGCATTGATTCCATGAACATAAAAGTATGCCTTCATAACAAAAAGCAGTTTGCTGAATGCTGATAAACCTAATACCACTGTATTTGTGACAACATACTAAATTCCTTAACTTGAAGGACGAAAATAATATAAAATTTTATTTATAATACTGCAATCATGCAATTCCCAAGTAGTTGACAGGATGTGCTTATCTCACCTTGCCTTGCATGTCCCAGAGTGCCAGCCAGATGTGAGAGGACATCATTACAAAGTACTCTGTGACCCTGTCCAGTGTCATAATTACTAGCTCATTTTTTCATGGTAAGTCGCCAATCTTGTACCTACTGAATTTCGGTTATTTACATTACGAACTTTTAGAATTTTAATGTTTTTTCAATGGCTGAACAAAGTGTAGGTGATATATTGGAACAATGGGGATTCCCGGAACTACTTTTGGTGTTTGAAGGTAAGTGTAACTTTAATCCATAAATTGTTTTGAACTATCTTTTGTTTTCCGACATTTTCATTTTTAGATTTTTCGAACAACGACAACTCGAAAAGTGCCGGTCTGATCAGAAACTGGTCGAGGAACTTTTTATTCAGTTTTCTTTGTATAACACCATCCCATAGTCCCTGTGCGCGAATTTCGAAACACGCTGTATATGTAAAAGCTGTTTACATGTAGTGTAGGTAAGTTTTAATCTCGGTTTTAATTTAAGTGTTTTATATTTTGTCTTTGGAGATGTTAATGATAAAAAAGTTTTTCTTTTGTAGTTAGGTAAACAGTAAGTGATTTAATAAATGTGTATTTAAAAAAAAAAGTGATTTGTTTTAATTGACATCACCAAAACGCGTGGACGATGCAGACAGAGCGGAAAATTTATTGTTCCAACCAGGATTCATAGTTAATCCAACTAATCATTTGAGACAATTTATGTGTTTCCAGCATAAATGGTATGCTACTACAACAAAGATAAAAAAGGACAAATTAGGAGGTCCAGCAAATACTCGTTAGTTTATATAACAATACCGCCCTGCTGCTGCGACTAAGCATTACTTGTTACAGGGACAAATTTTTT